ATCGAGAGTTTTTCATGATATATTATATATCAATGGAACTAAATTGAAATTCTACCCATTTTTCTCTAATTTTTTGTATCTTGTTGATAAAACCAGAATATAGGGAATGGTCCACTTTCGTCGGAAGAATATGATCTTTTAGAGTCGTGGGACAGATATGACACTCGTATGTGAAAAGCGAAAATGTTGAAAACTTTGGGAGATATTATACCTCGAACCCAAAAAGTAAATAATGAATTTCATTTTATAGAACTATTCATGTAAAAGATTAGACTGAATGGGAAATAAAGAGAGAGATGTAACCGGACTTGGAAATGAAGCAAATGTTGAAGCATGTTTGACGTTACTGTTAAATATCATATAGCTAATTAGTTGTGGAAAATATATATTAATCTAAGAAATGCGCGAAAATGAGTATGTATATAAATTGAAAGCAAATGTTGTAGGAAATCATTGTTTTCAAGAAAGCTACTGTTATATAAATGATATTAGTAGAAGTATCTTTCACTTGAAATCAATATTGTTGCTTCCATTTTCATATTTTGTGCGGATCATGCAACTACGACTTTCTATTAAAATAATACATTAGAGTTATTCGTTTATGAATTACTGGCAACTGCGACCAACGATCCATGATATTAATACTGAATCACTAAATTTCTTCAAGGATGCGATTTGTTATTCGTTTAATCGTTGTTCCTATTTGTCTGCTAGGTTTAAATCGCGTTAAATTAAAGCATGAACCATGTTCGGTTGGATGGATTTAGCTCAGAATACCAATGTTGAATGACGAAATGGAAACACTTCGGAGAACACATATATACACTCATGTGGAGGCTGCAACAAATTTTGTCGTTGTGATCGAAAATAATAATGGTGGGTTGAAAACATATCTTAGAATTTTGAATTAAAGTTTTTGAACGATTTAGTTTAACCGTGATTCAACTTGGTAGGGCTGGTCTAATTTTTCGTATGTATTTTTTTTTTTGTCAATGTAGACAATAAAAACCGAGATCCGAAGTTATGACTTCATTTAACTATGTTCTGGAATAGGCGATAGTCAGGACCGGCCATGAGATACATAGAGCAATAGAGACAATTAATAAATATTTAAATAATTTTGTTTTATAGAATTTGGAGGTATTGTGTTTATTAATTCTACAAATTTTGGGAACCCAAACCTATATCTACTTCATGTCGCTTGCCCCAGGGTCGGCCCTAGCAATAATTGGCCGACCGTTACGTGAAGCATTGGGAGGATTCTTGGCTCCTTATGTTGAGGGAGATCGATGAGGCCTAGAAATGGGATTCATGAGATAAGTATATATAAAGGCCTATATATTGTTTTGAAAGGTCGTACGTATGGGCTTGTGATAATGTGATGTTTAAATCGTTCTTTTGAAATCAAGCGGGTGCTGGGCTATAGGACCCTTGTGGAATTGTGGTTTGTATACTAACACTTTGTGAGAGTTGGAGCTAGAAGTTTTACTGGTGTAAAGAATGTCTACCACGTTTTTTTGTTGTTAAGTTGAATGTCTACCACGCACGTACTTGTTTGTCTAAGAAGTAGCGAATCTAGGTTTAATGCATGTTAGATACTAGGTAACCTATATGAGATAGACCGAGATATCGAATTCACGACTCCTAGTAAAGGGCTTGTAAAAACAATGTTAAAGCAGATTACCTTGCAAAACAAGCTATAATATAGCTTGATGGTTGTAATTTCTGGATTATAGTAATGGAAATTTATATTTTCGATAAAAAAAAGGTTCTTGAGACTTGGAGATTGTGAAATAAAGATACACAAATACATAATTGCGAAATCATAAGTAAGCATGTTGCCTCTTGAATCGGAGCGAGAAAACTCAAGACCAAAGACCGTTCCATCAGTTTGATAGCCTAACTAATATAAACTCCACATCCGTACACTTTACATAATATATATGTAGGTTTTATAAATTTAAAACCTTATAATTAAGCCCTATATTTAAACCACGAAATATCAAGTTAAGTTACCGAAAAGAGAAATCCTAACTAGACCCAAAAAAATATTTTATGAACAAAAGAAGAAAACAAGAAGAACAAGAAATCCATATGATGATAAAAATAAAGATGGAAGAAGAAAATAATAAAGACGTTGAAATGAGTAATTTCTAAGAAGATGAAGATGACGAAAGCCGCAAAAATTTCCATGGTCCAGTACTGCTTCCAATCCTGTTAAATTGTTGTTTTCTCAGTCCTATCTGAATTTAAACTTAATTTACAAATCTTATACAAATTTAGAAAAAAAATTGTAGTTAATATTTCTAATTAATCTCCTTTTGATAAATGGCTGAAATTATTCCTAAAAATATCATAATTAGGAATTAGGTCCGCTACCTTTAGTCTATGACAAAGACATTCCAAAACACAACACCTAAATAACAGTTTATATGCATGAAAAAAAAAAACCTTAACTCTTATATAGTAGTTATCAGGTTGCTTCGTCTTCCATTTGGAATTCCGCTATGACGAACAAAAGTATTTTGCTAACTCTATGCGATTAATCTAGATGTTAAAATGTCTTAGCTAGAATTAATGTAAATTATGCTTACAAATCTAGAAAAATGTGTGTATATGAATATTACCTTCCAATTCCAGCAATAGTTCGGAGACTCATATAGATCGTAAGAGCAATCCAAATTCCGACATACCCATTCCTCATCGCCATATATACTATAGCTCCATTGCTTACCCCCGCAACCATAACCTAGAAATGAAACACACATTTTTTCAATAACTTGATTATTCATTTTGAAATATTTGATGGTCTTACAGAATACTATTCAATTAAAATATATAATAGAACTATAGAAGTATATGGAGTACCATAGAATATGCAGTATAAGCAAAGTCTGACGCACGTC